TCAATTTCTCACCCATTATTATAATATGGAATTCTTTATAAGATATTTATCAATCATAATAATTAATAATATAAAGTTTAATTAATTTCATGTAATATAAAAATATGTTTACACAATAATTATTATTCATTTAAAATATCTAGAAGCTTTTCACCAATCTTTTCTGATGCAATGGCCAGCGAATATTCATCGACCTTCTCGTATTTGATTGTATCACACGATTCCTAATCATTAATTAATTAAATATAATTAACATCAATAGTAATTAATTACACCAATAGTGATAACTTATTGATGACATACATTGTGTTGGGGCAAGAAGTAGAGGTCTCGGGTGCGGTCCAAGAACTCGTCCTCGTCGTCAATCCTAGAGAACTCGAAGGGCTTTACGACAATCAGTTTGCCGGTACTCTTAGCCCACTTTGTGGCCCATTTGGCGCTCATTTGTGCCAATTTGCTCTTCTTGTGACAGCGATGTGCGGCCAACAGTTTCGCCCGTTTCAGTGAATTGCGTAATATCTCCTCCAAGTCGGGCGCCACCAGACCTTTGCCGGCGAAGTCGCGGATCTCATTACACGCCCGACGTATTCGGGCGTCGATATTGGGCTCACACTTCATGTCGCGGAAGATCTTATCGCGAAATGACTGCGGGATCTCATTCGACACAAACATGAAGATAAACTCCAATAGAAACTCGTCGGTCACCACATCGTCCGAGAACTGGGTTTCGGACAGTATGTCAATAATGACCGCGCGATCGATCTGTTGGTTTCTGCGCAACAGTTTGCCGGCCGTCAGAGCGAAGTCGAAATACCCGACCACATCGTACTGGCCTCGAGGCTGCACTGTCTTCAGCAGATCCGAGAAATAGCGATTGATTTCTTTGATTGTCTCACACGAGTCCAGATCTCGGGTCCAATTCAGGCCAATCACCGGTCGATCGAACCGTACGGCCAACTCTTCAAACGATTTAAACGACCCCTCGATAGCGGGCAAGAAGTAGATGGGCTGACCGGTGCTCACCTGATTAAGTCGCGTGTACTTCTCAAGCGGTATGACAAATTTGCATTTGAGCAAGTTGGCTTTGGCCGTTTTCACCTCGTCTACATATTTCTTGAAGTCCTCCATACGACCCGATTCGTAGTCTTTAAGCATTTTAACGGTAATGTTCTTCACGTGATTGATAGACATCTTGATATTCCACTCCCTCTCCAACTCCTGTTGTAACTCAACGGCAAACATAGACTCGAGCCCTATCTCACCGAGGGTTAAGTGATCGGGTGTAGTGTCCGGGTCTATGCCCAACGCTCGCCACAACTCTTTAACCATACGCTTTTGACGACTACCCGACTGCATAATACGCTCAGCTTTAACCTAGGTCATACAAATATTAAAGTATAGTAAAATATTATACATCAAAACAAATTAGTCTTATTAATTCCGTAAATAAAAAATTAGGTAAACTTATAATACTTACAAACGATGTAACAATAGTCTTATTAACAGCCAGCAATTTATCAAGCACATCCAAAACCGAGTTTATGCGCTGTTTGCGCAAATTGGACAACTGAACAGCCTGATCCTTTTCGGAGAGGGCGCCCACATCGCCAATAGCGCCGTATTGTATGGACAGGGCGTGCAGTCCGTCGCGTTGGCGCTGTTCGCACAGTCGCTCACACCTAGCGTTGCCGAGACCGTAGTTGGCCTGACCCCCGTTCCCCTTCCCGCACGACAGCGACGAGAATATTACGAAATAATCCAATTTATACGCCAATCGACGGGTCACGCGATCCAAGTGCTCAAATATCACATATTTCGTGTCCACCGTCTCTTGGAATT